ATTTTTTGCCCCAGGCCAACTCAGGAAAGGGAGAGGCAGTGGCACACTCTGGACGTCAGAGGTTCCTTGCGGGTTTACATTAAACGCACTGAGACCTTTCCTAAGTCTGAGGCCTTGTTCATTTCCTTTCAACCTAAATCTCAAGGGCTCAAGGTTCCACCAGCAACCATAGGCCATTGGATAAGGGCGGCCATTGCCAAAGCATACCAGTCACAGGCCCTTCAGGTGCCCAGGAGCATCATGGCTCACTCCACTAGAAGTGCGGCAACTTCAGCTGCCTGGGCTATCCAGGCCCCAATAATCAACATCTGCCGGGCAGCGACGTGGGCTTCCCCGTCTCCCTTCATTAGGCATTACAAGATTGACAGGTATGCCTCAGCCGAGGCTTCCTTTGGTAGATTGGTTCTATAGAGGGTTCTTAGAGAACCCAAAGGGACTACAGACCAGATGGTGCCCCTCCCGTAGGACAGGCCCAGCTTTGGTATGTCCCACTACTGGATGCTCTGAGCAGCTCTAAGGAGAATGGGTGTTGGTTCTTACCTGACACGCCATTTCTCTTCGAGCTGCAAGGAGCATCCAGCCCCTCCCTTATCTTTCACTGTCTGGTGGGGTCTTGTTTTGGCCAATGAACTGTTAGATTGTTAGGATGAGAGCACGAATTTTGTTTCTTCTCGTTTTTGCAAAACTGGGGAACGCTACGCTGGAGCCACGTGATGGAGGGAGGAGCGTTCCTCAAAATTAAGCTTAGCCTGCAACAGCAGAGACTGAAGCACCACCCACTTCTGGATGCTCCTCGCAGCTCAAAGAGAAATGGCGTATCAGGTAAGGAACCAACGCCCATTCCCCATTCTTTCTTATCTTTACCATGCCTTGACTGAATTTGAAGAAAGGCCCACCATTCCAAGTCTACCCCTTGTTGTTTTAACTCCTGTCTAGGCTTCAATTGCCCCTCATCGTTTAAGATATCTTTATAGGTAATAGCTTTTTCCTGATTGTACAAATTTGTGTAGGCTATTGCTTCTAGCGTAGATATCCAGGTGGGAATTTCCATATAATTTTGAGTTTTAATTTTGTTCCATATCAGATATAGAGCTTGCCTAATTTTATGCCTTAGGAAATACTGGCGGGCAGTACGGCTGCTATACCACAGAAACGCGTGCCAGCCCTGCTGTAGATCATGGCCCTCTAATTGTAATATTCTTCTGTCTTCAGTTTATCCAATCCTTAATCCAGGTAAGTGCAGCTACCTGATAGTATAGTTCCCATCCTGGGAGTCCAAATCCTCCTCTTTCTTTTCCTTCCTGTAATAACTTTAATTTAATCCTGGGTCTCTTCCCTTGCCATACAAAGTTTATGGCCAATTTATTCAAATCTCCAAAGAATTTTTGGCCCAATTTAACAGTATATTTTGAAACAAGAAGAGCACTTTTGCTAGTATGGTCATCTTGATTCCTGATATTCTTCGTAGTAAAGAGAATCCAGGCCTTCTTTTAATTGCTTCAGCAATTTGTTGTAATTATCTTCTTTGATTAATGCATCTTGCTGATTATCTAAGATATCCAAGATATCTTATTTTTTTTTACTATTTGGATGTCCATTTTCTTAGCCATGTATCCTTTCTGTTTATTAATCATATTCTTAACAATATTTTTTTTTTGCCGTTTTAGTATTTAGTATTTATTTGATTTGTCAATCGCTTACAAGATGCGGGTATAAGAATAAATATAGTTTTGAATACATAAGATAGATACTTATAAGAAAAATAAAAAAACAATAGGACAGGGACGGTAGGCATGATTGCTGTGCTTATGCACGCCCCCCACAGGCCTCTTAGGAAGGGGGTGAGGTCAATAGTAGACAGTCTAAGGTTAAAGTTTTTGGGGTTTTGGGAAGAAATCACAGTCAGGTAGAGTATTCCAAACATTGACCACCCTGTTGCTGAAGTCATATTTTCTGCAGTCAAGTTTGGTGCGGTTAACCTTGAGTTTGTATCTATTGTGTGCTCTTGTATTGTTATGATTAAAGCTGAAGTATTCATTTGCAGGTAGGACATTGCAATGTATGATTCTATATACTATATTTAGATCGGACCGGAGGCGGCGTAGTCTAGGTTTTCTAGGTCTAGAGTTTCAAGTCTGGTGGCATAAGGTATTCTGCAATGAGTAGAGGAGCAGAGAACTCTTCTTGTGAAATATTTCTGGACTTTTTCAATTGTGTTAATATCAGATACATGATATGGGTTCCATTTAGTCTTGCCTAATTTTTAAACCAGCGTCACCATACACTTCAAGTATCTTTAAAAGTTTCAGGCCAGTTTGTTCTGGATCTTCCATAATAAACACCAGATCATTGGCAAAGACTTGAAGTTTAAAGGTCTCTTTTTAAACTTCTAGGCCTTTAATCTGCGGTTTTTGCCAAACTGTCCTTATTAGCACTTTCACTGTGAATATAAATAGTGAGTTAATATAAGTAGTGGGCAGCAGGCATCCTTGTCTCCTTTCTGTATATTGACAGTTTTGGTCTCTTCTCCATTTATTAATATTTTGGTTTCCTGTTTAGTATATAATGCTGTGATGGTATTTTAAAAGTTTTTGCCAAAGTCCATATATCTAAGTTGTTGTAATAAAAATGACCACTTAATGTTATCAAAAGCGTTTTGGGCATCTAAAAAAAGAAATGCCACTTGTAGTCTGCTATGAACTTCATAAAATTCTAGGATATCTAATATTGTTCTTATATTGTGCTTAATTTGTCTTCTAGGCAAGAAGCCATTTTGATCTCTATGAATGAATTTGTTTAAAAATCTTTTTAGCCTCTCAGCTATAATTGTTACGAATATCTTGTGGTCTGTGTTCAAAAGAGATATTGGTCTATAATTTTTAATCAGTGATGGATCCAAATTTTCTTTGTGTATCAATGTAATATTAGCTTATTAGCTTCGGTTGACAATTGCGGAATTTGTGCCTCTTCTAAAACTGCATTGAAGACTTCTAATAATGGTTGGCCCAGCATGTTTTGTTGATCTTTATATACTTTTTATTTTATTTATTTATTTATTTTTATTTGTCAATTGCTTACAAGATAATAGGTATAAGTAAAAACATAGTTATGTATACATGGATACATATAAGAAAAATTAAAAAAATATAAAAGAAACAATAGGATAGGGATGGTAGGCACGTTGGTGTGCTTATGCATGCCCCCATCTGATACTTCTGATACTTCTGATGGGATGTTGTCTGGGCCTGGCACTTTGCTGTTTTTTTGTTTATCGATTGCCTTGATAATTTCTGCCATTTTGATTTCCTCATTCAACATAAAATTTGTCTCTTCTGTAATTTTGGGTAGATCTCCTTTCTTTAAACATGCCAATATTTTCTCTTCTATATGCCCGTCATTTTCGATATATAATTTCTCATAGAAAGTCTGAGCAATATTCTTCTTTACATCTTCCTGATAGCACATCCTTCCAACTTCATCCCGTTTCATGATCCATCATTTCCCACTTAATCTCTTCAGTTTATGTACTAGCCATCTCCCAGGTATATTTGCATATTCAAAAAAAATCTGTTTTTTCTGTTGTAATCGTTGAGCTAGAGCTTCTTTTTTAAGAATATAAAGTTTGTGTTTGATTATATTCGTTTGATTTTTAATGCTTTTATTTTATTTTTCTGTAGTGCTATGTCCGCTTTAAAAATAATCTTCTAGAGTTTTCTGTAATTGTTTCTTCTCCTTGTTTTTATTTGCCATGTATGATATTGCCACTCCTCTTATATATGCCTTTGCTGTGTCCCAGAGATTTGGGAGGGATTTATCCTCCTGTTCATTCTCTTTAAAAAAGAAGCCTAATTCTTTCTCCAACATTAGCCTGAAATCCTTATCCTTTAAGATTGATCATTGAAATGTTCATCTTGATGTTCTCTTATGCCCTTTCCAGAAGAGTTTCATGGGGTTGTGATCCGGCCAAAGGTTCATCTCAATATCTACTACTTTGATTTCTGAATCCATCTCCTTCGAGATCAACACTATGTCTATCCTGGACCACGACTTGTGCCTGTTTGAGTACCATGTAAATTTACTTTTCCCCCTAATTCCTCTCTCTCCAAGCATCCTGTATACTTAAGTCTTTGGCCATTTCAAAAAAAGTTCTTGGTAAAATTCTTCTATTTCCTTTTCTCGTGTCATTACATTTTTGTCAACAATAGCATTAAAGTTTCCTATAATACAAATCTCATCATATTCTATGGCTTGAATTATATTATGTAAACTTTTACAGAATTGTTTTTGGCTCCCTTGGGTGCATAAATTTCAACTGAAGTCCACACATCTTAAAGTCACCAAGATTGAGAAATACTGGTTGGGGGAGGGGGCAGGATAATGCCTTGAATCTTTCCTTAGCTAGTCTTTCTCAATTTGGAAAACTCCACTCATCCTGGGTAGCGATACCCAGGGTTCTATAGCCAAGATGTCTGAAGGCATACTGGAAATTATAATAATAGTAAATTGGAGTACATGAGTTGTGGGGTGGAAGGTCATTCCCTGAGCTTGCAGGCTGTTTTCCATCTTCAGTGGAATTTAGGGGGTCAGTGTCAGTGTTCTGCTTATAAAGTTTCCCTGTTGTCAGCAGGCATTGTGATGGTGAGGTCACATCAGGTCAGGTTCTTGTGATGGGTCCTGTGATGGGACAGTTGTGAGTCAAATAAATTGGTGGTGTTGTGATGGATGGGTAAGGATCACAAGATCCATCAAAAGACCTTGGCCAATGGCTTAATATATTTTGAATAGAGTGGGAGCAAATCCAACCTACCAGCGGTAAAAAACTTGTACCAAAAAGGACACGAATGTGTGCCAATTGGGAAATGTAGAAACCCCAAACCAGAGGAGGGCAGAACAGAATGAATGAAGGTTCACCAGGAATAATCCATGCCACATTATATTTTATGGGCCTTGCTTGAGTCTTCTGAGGAAAGGTTCAGTCCATTTCCTGAGGGGCTACTTACCTCCAGTCCCAGCAAACAGCACAAAGAAGACAGGATAGAAGAAGCCAAAAGAGAAGGTGAGTATATATTCATGGGAAATGGCTGACAAAAGGAAGACAATGAGCATAGCTCCAGCTCGGGCTCTTTCTCCAATCAGCTGGAAGAGAAGGAGCACAGGTGAATCATAGACTTCATCTTGGTGATTACCAATAAACAATGAGGACAGGCACAGAGAAATTACATGCAACAGGTTTACTGCATGGGGCAGTATAGGGTGGATTTGGCAAGCATGTAAGACTTTTCAGGTGCTCCACACAGTAAACCAATCCAAATAATAGTACTTTTATTAAAAGGTTAGAGAGATAGAATCTGGCAAGTTTGAAACACGCCCACTCCCCGCCTTTATTTTCTGAACAACAAGGGAGAATCTCTTCTGAGATGTTATTCTACCCCCATTCCTGCTCTGAGCTGAGTCCTCTCCTCTTGACCATTGCCCTGGCTGCAGTTCTGCCCCCAAAGGTTATTCTCACAGCCCATTACAGCCTTACCTACCCACAGAAAATCTTGATAAATATAGTAGTACAACCAATCGTGTACAATCACATTCCATGACCGAAAGAATGTTGAGAATGCTGTGGAATTCCACCAGTCCTAGGCAGGAAGAATGAAATAAAAAACATGAAAAACACAGAAATGCTAGGCTTGAAACTGGAACATCACTGTATTTTGGCCAGCAAAGAGACAATCCCCTCTAAATTGCCCGTGTATGGGTAGTCCTTGAGTTACAAGGGCAATTGGGATTAGAATGTCCATCACTAAGTCAGTGGGGAAACCAGTGGAAAATTGCAACTCTCAAACAGTGGCTAAGTGGCTATTGTCAGGTATGGGAGAGCAAGGAGGCGTCCTGGGTGTTAGGAAAGGGGGAGATTAAGGGTCGGGGAGGGTCAAGGGGGGCATGAAAAGTTAGATTTCAGCTGTTGGGAGGGAAGGAATGAACCATCACGTGGGATCTTGCAAAGTCTTTCAGAACACATTATTTGATTTCGTATATTCCCTAAACATACATGTTTCTACAGGAGTCTTCATTTAATGAAAATTGGGAGCAGCAATAAAGTTATTAAGTGGTCATTAAGTGAAACATGTTATTTATTTGCCAAATTTATTTATTGTCGAATTTACATAGCTGCCGATCTCACCTAAAGTGACTCCAGTGCCATATGATACTAGCAAAAATTAAAATATTTTACCAGCCCATTAAAACAATTAGTATGGATAAAACATGCTTGCAATCTTAGTTCTATTTGTTTTGCTTTACAGACCTGCAGAGGTTGTAAATGTGAGGATTGATCATAACTTTATTATCATAGTTGTAACTGCAATCAATTGCTAAATCAAAATTAGGCATGCACTCCCCTAACTACCTCAACTCCAACTCCAACTGGCCTTAAATGCAAGCTACTCAATGCAAGAAGCCTTGTGAATAAAATACCTGATTTTCTCCTCTTACTAAATATGGCTAAATTCGACTACATATTTGTCTGTGAAACATGGCTCAACGCATCTCTCCCTGACTCCATTACCACAGTAAGAGATTATCATGCTTACCGATCAGATCGTGAAATCCTTAGAGGAGGTGGTGTTGCTATTTTCTATAAAAAGTCCTTACTTCTAAAAAACATCCAAGTTACTCAAGAGCTTGCTCTTCCTGAGACCATCATCTTCTGCAATAGTTTGAATTCAATTTACGGAATACAAATTAAAGAACCCTTTTCCAACAGTGACCATAATATGCTTGACTTTTGTCTCAACGTATGTCCACACAAAAATCAACACAACAATGTGATCCCCAATTATAACTTCAAAAAAGGTAACTATGATCTTATAGACAACGATCTCTCATCCCTTGATTGGCAATTTCTATTCACTGGATGCAATACTGTTGAAGACCATTACAACATATTTTTACTTGAAGTCAAAAGAGTCATCAAACTATATGTACCAATAAAAACTACAAAAACCAGAAAAAACAGATTACTCATAACAATAAGGAAGCTTCAATCCAAAAAGAGATCACTTTGGCGGAAAAAACAAATCTGATCACGTTGCCAACTTCAAAAGCTGATACAAAAATATATGCCACCAGATAAAGACTGAAGGCACCAATTATCACATTAAACAAGAGGAAAACCTTCTATGCACCAATTCCACCCGTGCTTTCTACAATTTTGTAAACAACAAACTAAAAGACTCAAGGTCCATCCCACCCCTGAAAGGACCTAATGGTAAAGACTGCAATGATGACACCATTGAAGCCAACCTCTTTAACACATTCTTTGGCTCAGTATTTGTAAACAGCAATGGATCTTGCCCAGTATTTCCTAGTCGAACCACAGACAACTACAATGATCTAATACATATCGATTTTACAGAAGACAATGTTGAAAAAGCAGTACGCAATCTAAAACCATCTCTATCTATTGGACCAGACGGAATATGTGCTTACTTCTTAAAAAAGCTATCCACTGCCATAGCCGAACCTCTAAGCATAATCTTTGAAAAATCTTTCAGGACCAGCTCCTTGCCAAAACTATGGTCACAAGCCACGGTCATCCCCATCTTCAAAAAGGGAGACCCCAGCCTAGTTGAAAATCACAGACCAATCTCTTTATGCTGCATCACCTGTAAAGTCATGGAATCAATTATTAACCAATCCATTATCCTCCACTTAGAGACAACCTACTCTCTAATAAACAATTTGGTTTCAGAAAAAAACTATCCTGCAATCTGCAACTCTTACACTGCAAAAACATATGGACTACACAACTCGATCAGGGCAAAGCAATAGATGCAATCTACATAGACTTCTGTAAAGCCTTTGATTCAGTGGTACATGAAAAACTAAAATCTCCTAAAACTAAAATCTTATGGCATCTCTGGACACTTGCATTACTGGATAGAAGCATTCCTGTCAAACAGACAACAAATGGTCAAAATTGGGAGCATCCTGTCAAATTCTGTACCTGTCAACAGTGGTGTCCCCCAAGGCAGTGTTCTAGGCCCAACTCTCTTCATACCCTACATAAATGACCTCTGTGATCATATTAAGAGCAACTACATCCTCTTCGCTGACAATGTAAAGCTATTCTACACCACAGACAATACTGCTACCCTTCAAAAAGACCTCAACTATGTATCAGAATGGTCAAACAAATGGCAACTTCAAATCTCAGCAAACAAATGCTCTGTCTTACATATTGGCAAAAAAAATCAGAAAATAAAATACAGGCTGAATAGTCAAGACCTTGCTGATGATCTAAACTCTGCCAAGGACCTTGGAGTACTCATCTCTAATGATCTAAGTGCTAGAGCCCACTGTAACTACATAGCCAAAAAGGCATTAAGAGTTGTTAACCTAATCTTATGTAGCTTTTTCTAATAACTAGAGCGTACAAAACATTTGCTAGACCAATACTCGAATACAGCTCATCAGTCTGGAACCTGCATTGCATATCTGATATTAACACAGTTGTGAAAGTCCAGAAATATTTCACAAAAAGAGTTCTCCACTCCTCTACTCGTTGCAGAATACCTTATGCCACCAGACTTGAAATTCTAGACCTAGAAAACCTAGAACTATGCCACCTTCGCTCCGATCTAAGTATAGTATATAAAATCATACATTGCAATGTCCTACCTGCAAATGAATACTTCAGCTTCAACCATAACAATACAAGAGCAATCAATAGATACAAATTCAAGGTTAATTGCACCAAACTAGATTGCAGCAAATACAACTTCAGCAACAGAGTGATCAATGTCTGGAATACTCTACCTGACTCTGTGGTTTCTTTCCCAAACCCCAAAATACTTTAACCTTAAACTTTCAACTATTGACCTCACCCCTTTCCTAAGAGGTCTGTAGGGGGCGTGTATAAGCGCACCAACGTGCCTACCATCCCTGTCCTATTGTTTCTTTTATTTTTCTTAAATGTATCCATGTATTCATAACTATGTCTTTACTTATACCTATTATCTTGTAAGCAATTGACGAACCAAATAAAATAAAAAATATATAAAATAAATATTTATTACTTTGATTACAAGCAATCGGATACTTCAGTGTCAACTTCTTCAATGTAGTTGTTTTACCAAGTTGAAATTTGCTTTTGTTTCAGAGCCATAACATCTCAGAACTCTTTTTGAAGTTTTTCTAACTATTCTTCATGGCCAATGGATGATTCAAGTATATCCAGACTCCTCATATCTTTCTTGCAACCTCCTCCCCCTCCCCCTTGTTATCACCTTGTAGAAAGAACGGTCTGCAAAGCGCAGGATCTCAGCAAATATGTTTTGCCAGCAGTCCATGAAGAAATAGAAGACCACGAATAAAATGGATATCACTGAATGAGAGAGGTAAAGAAATACATTAGTTCTTCCCACTTTTGGGAGAGAGAAGAGATTTTTAAAACTCAGTTATTGTTACAGATTTAAGGCAGACTATTGTAAATCAAGTTAGACTTTTAGGCTAGTATCCTAAATGGAATGTCTATAGAGATTCTCAATCATCTAGGTCATTATTGTCTCAAAGGTGCTTTACAAAAGGCAATTTGACTTTCTTGTTTTTTTTCCTTGAAAATGTTTCACTTCTCATCCAAGAAGCTTCTTCAGTTCTGAAAATGTACTGAAGAAGCATTTTGGATGATAAATTAAAGTTTCCGAGTGGAAGAAGAACAAAATGGCCTTGCCTATGTTATTTTGTCAGGGAATTGTGCAGCTGGTATCCAAAAGGAGTCAGAGATGCTGATATGTACCAGTTTTATATAAATAAGTATATTTACAGTGAGTTAGATAGGCAAACAGGAGCATTGTCAGATAAATCAACCAGCAAAAGCACAATGAGCTAAATTGGAGACAGCACACAGGGCACTCAGAGGAAAAAGGAGGGACACAAGGAAACTCCCCCTTTACTCTCACAGCAACCGATTACAACTCAGATTCCCTCATGCAGTGGCCAGCTCTCTTCAACCATTTAGCTATAACTGTGTGTTCTTACTCAATGTCCAACCCTTCGCTTTTCCAGCTATTAAATTTTAAATATCTTAGCAACCTGTTTTTAACTAAGGCTGTAGCCTACATTGTCTAAGATTTAGACACGTGCAAATTGATGTGTGAGTCCACCATTATTATTATTGTCGATCACAGTTAACCAGATTATTTTACTGGATATGGCCTTCTTGTCCACCTATTGAGTCCTTCCAAGGGACGTGGGATAGGCAGATGTTAGTGTTTGAACTGTTAAAGGTATTGTTGCAGGATATCAGTTGCTCCAAGCAAAGCCGGCTTTTGCAACTGACTGATATTGGTTATGTCAATGCTGTTCAAGTTGTGCTCCAAGGAAGGATGATGGATTTTGACAATTTGAACAGGACAATGACAGGACAAACAGGAGCATATAGAGCATGGCACTTGGAGAATAATTGAGGCAAAAGCAGAAGAAAAGTGTAAGCATCTTCAGGTTGCGAAAGCACTTTTGCAGAAAGCAGAATCAGTCAACAATGAATTCAGAAAGACTTCTTTCCTTGACTTGATCTATTTCACAGACCTACATCATGATTTTCAGTTACATATAGGCCAAAATCATGTTTATCTTGGGTTGTGGGATGAGTTAACTATTGGTTAAATTTATATGCTGCCCATCTTGTTAAAATGACTCTGGATTGTTATGTACCAGCTAGCTGGTAGAGATAGTCTTGGATGTATGACCACAATTGAGCCCAGAATTTCTGTTGCTCAGGGAGACAGTTGTTAAGTGATTCCCCCCATTTTACAACTTTTTCAGCCAGTTTTTATTTTATTATTTAACCCCCTTGATTTTGGTGGTCAGAAGATTTGAAAAGGTGATCACATGACCCCGGGAAACTGCAACTATCATAAATACATGCCAGTATTTATGGCATGTACTTTGATCATGTGACCATGGGAATGCTGTACTGATCATACATGGGGAAAATGGTCATAAGTCACTTTTTTCAGTGCTTCTTTAACTTCAAATGGTTGTATCTTGAGAACTACCCACAGTATGTCTCTCTTCACTTTCTCTAAAATCTGCTAAATCAGCCTGATTGTGTTTGAGGCTCTCCTGTTTCTTCTACTGGATGAGGTCAACACCCCAGTTCCATAGCATTACCACTTAATCCCATTACAGGAATGAAATCATACTTGTTTCCACATACTGGGCATTGCTGAATCAAAGATGGAGAGCAGCTGGATTTTGATGGTGAAGGGTTGTTTATGCATGTTGCTGAAGTTAGGGATGAAATAGTATTTCATAAGGAAATTCACAAAGTATATACACGCCAGGAACTGTGGGACAGAGAGAAAAAAACATGACCTTAGTGATCTATTAGCATCTCAGTGTTCTCGCAAGGCATACCAGTTGCCAGCTCTCGGCTATGACTAAGAAAAACCTTCTTCTGGTCTACAATCTCAGAAGCTGGATTTGGCTGCCATTTTAATATCCTACAGTACAATGCCCAAATGCTGTCCTCCAATACCAGCCCTTCTTTGGTTTAGTTTTAGTCAATCTGTCACAGATTTCTGCACTACTCACTTCCATCAGCTCTGCTCTCTTTCAAACCCCCTTTTCCTTTTATTTTCCTATGGGAGATATTTGAAAATATGTGTTAGGAATATAAGTCACCTAACAGCTATTTGGGTTGGAAATATATAAACCAGGATAGACATTTTAATACTGTATCTTTAAGAAAATGCAAAAGTGTAATTGGGTGTGGTTTCTCAAACAGCCATAAGATGGAGCCAGAAACCTGGGTTGTCTTAGTTTTCATTTCAGAAGAAGTCTCAGTGAGTCTCTTTCCTTCTGTTGGAGAATATGGCTGTTCCTGTATTGACTGTTATTCTTGGATTTGATATAAGTCTGATACTGAACTGTTTTTGACACTGGATTTGTTATTTGGATTATCCCTGGACTGAAAACTGACTGATCTTACCTGTGAATGACTTTGGACTGCTTATTTTGAACTTTGCTTAAACGTTTCTGGAAATAAAAACCTACATTTACTGTACAGTGTATCTATGTGCTGTGTGTGTATTATTCAAACACTTCTCTCAAATACGTCTCCCTGTAATGTGCTCATTCTCCTAATGGGGAATTACTGCAACACTGGTTATGGGCCCAGGCCATACCAAGCCCAGATAACTGAGAGTTAGTGTGAATACACAGTACTGTATACAGGCAGCTGTTTACTGTTTAATTGTGGGTTACTATCCTGGTAAAGATGGCACAAGTCTATCACTGATAACCCGGTTGGATGGAACAAACTATGTTTTCTGGTCTATGAAGTGCAGTATACTTCTGCGTAAAGAAGGTTTATGGAATGTAGTTCAAGGCCCACTGGATGTAAATGCTTGGGATCCAAATAATGAGGATGATGCCAAAACCTTGCTGACTTTAAACAGAACAACAAACAAGCTCTTTGTATAATTGGACTGACACTGAGTGACCAGCAGCTAGTCCATATTCGTGGAGAAGAGTCTGCTGCTAGGTGTTGGGAGAATTTGAAGAGGATTTATGTTCATGACAGTGTAGGTGCACACATACATCTTACATGTAAACTGTTCAGAGCACGTCTTCTGAAAGGTGGAGATATGTTAGCTCATTTAAACTTCATGAAAAGAACTTTTCAAGAGCTACATGAAAAGGAACTGATATTTTCAGAGCTGCATCAAGTTTACATCATTCTTTCGTTGTTGGATGAAAGTTATGATGATTATGTATCTTCACTGGAAGTCCTGACCAGAAATGAACTGACATTGACTGACATAACTGGAAGATTGTTAGAAGAAGCAAGAAGACGGCTGGATAGGGACCAACTGAGGAAGGAACAACCACAAGAAGACAATTTGTCTTCAACTGCCTATACTGTTAGGAAATGTTTTTCTTGTGGGGCTAGAGGACATATAGCTAGATTCTGTAAGAAGGGAAAACAACAGAATACTGGTAAACACCAGAAGGCCAAGAAGAATATTAGTTTAGCTATGTCTAGCAATTCAACTGTAAACCATGATTTATGGGTTGTTGATAGTGGAGCATCGCAAAAAAAACTAAAGATAAGGAAAGGTTTGTAACGATGTCCACAACATATATCATTGGCAAATGGATGGAAGATTAACGCATCGGGTGAAGGTACTGCATATTGTTCTTGTATAAATGAACATTTAATTGTGTTACATGTACCTAAACTGAAATTTAATTTGTTATCAGTAAGGGCTTTAGTTAATATTGGTTATGTAGTAACCTTTAGGGGAGATAACTGTATAATAGAGAAAGAGGGTAAAAGGGTTACTGCTAATTTAGAGAATGATTTATATGTAATACATGATGACCAATTGAAGATGGCTAACTCCGTTTATAACAATGTTAAGCAACATGATGAATGTATACATTTACTACATAGACATCTAGGCACTTCAATTTCAAAATGCTCAAACAACTGTTGAATTGTCAGAGGGGGTAAAATTGAAACCCTGTAGCAAGTATTTAAACTGTAATGCTTATAGCCAAGAGAAGAGTAAGGTTACTCCAGCAAACAGACTTAATGGGTTTAAGACCAAAGAACCTTTAGAGGTTGTTTTTGCTGACATAATTGGTCCTAAGAAACCAAGTTTAGGAGGTGCCTGCTATATTTTGAGTATAATGGACCATTACTCATGATACTGTTTCTGCTATCTTATGAAAAACAAAACAGAAACATTCCAACATTTATTTAATTGGCTTAGGTTTGCAGAGAGAAAAATAAAAAGTAAAGTAATTACTTTAGTTACTGATAACGGGACTGAGTTTGTTAACAAAAGATTCCAAACTCTGTTGAAATTGGCTGGTGTTGAGCATAAACATTCTGCACCTTACAGACCACAACATAACTCGTTTGTAGAACGAAGAGGGCAAACATTACAAGCCATGGCTTGCACTATGTTATCTGATTCAGGTTTGCCTGAAACACTGTGGGGTGAGGCCATAATGTGTAGCAATCATGTTTTAAACAATGTAGTTAACACAACACCTGGAGAATTGCCATTCACTTGTTGGCATGGCAGAAAACCAAATTTAAATTACCTACCCACATTTGGAGCTCCAGCATGGGTGCATATTCCCTCACAAGTAAGACTGAAACAGCAACATAGAGCTAAGAAGTTATTTTTTGTGGATTATGAGGCCAACCATAGATCATTTAGATTCTGGGATCAAGGCACAACTCATGTTTATTGTAGTGCTAGTGCAAAATTTCTCGAGCACATTGGGTGGGATAAACTGGAATAGGAATCCAGCAATGATGTTATTATTGACACCCAAATAGTCCCTAAAGATAAAATCAGTAAACCATGAATAGCCATTAAAGAGGAAGAACAGGAAGAAGAAGGAGAACAGGCACAGGAAGAAGTAGAAGGAGCAGGTGGCACAGGAAAGTCCACCAGTAAGCCCTGTATTACCAAGATGTTCAACCCGAGTAACATGACCACCTGATAGATATCAGGATATCAGGCTTGGCAGGTTGTATGGCAGGTTGTATGCCAAGCGAATACAGTTCCAAGTAATTATAGTGAACTAAAACTGTATCCTGCTAAGGATCAGGCTGCTTGGCAGAAAGCAATGGATAAGGAACTGGAATCATTAAAAAAACTGGAGGTATATGAAAATGTTAAGTTACCACCAGGTAAACATGCCATAGGATGTAAATGGATATATAAGCTTAAGACAGGTGTAGATGGGACTGTTACCCATAAAGCCAGGTTAGTAGCACAAGGGTTCAATCAGACTGCAAATTATGATGAGGTGTTTGCACCTAGTCTGAAGGCTACTACATTAAGGGCAGCATTAGTGTGGGCAGCTAAAGAGAAATATATTGTAAATCATTTGGATGTAGAGACGGCATATCTGCATGTACCATTGCAACATACTATATATTTAAAGAAACCTTTAGGTCTCAAAAATGACAATACTGATAATAATGATTGCTGGAGATTGAAAAAGAGTCTTTATGGCTTAAAGCAATCAGGATATGAGTGGAACCAATGTATAGTTAAAGAATTAAGGGAGAGGGGAGGAGCTGGCGCCGTGACGATACGGCTTGCAATCGAGCTCTTCGATTGCAGCCGATATCTTCGCTTCTGGCCCGTCCAAACGGACCTAAACCATCCCGTAGGGATGGCTATTGTGAAGGGTATACCCTGTGGACTCCAGGGACACCACAAAGTCCCTGGATGACCCGGGAGAAGTTCCTTTTGCTGGCAGCAGAGAGGCAGCCCCCAAGCTGCTGAAGTCGGGGCAGCTCCAGAAAGGAAGAGGCTGAAAGAGAAAGTGTGTTGGCTGGGTGAGAAACTTTTTTTTTCTAATTTTTTGAGGTTTGAAAGGACACTTTGATTGCTAGAAGAAATCTGTGTGATTTTTGACAAAACTGATCAAGCGGCGTTTTTTTAAGAGAGACGTCAAAGCGAGGCTTTTTTTTTTTCTTTTTCGCTACTGGACTTCATTATTATTTACTGGATAACCGGACTGTTCTTTTTTATATATATATTTTCTATTTTCCCTTTGGATTTCTTTTTTTTTTTTCCTTAGGCTAGAGGCTCCCTTTGGTTATTTTTTTTTCTTTGTATATATATATGTATATACTTCTTGCGTTTTTTTAAAATTTTAATTATGCTGTTTTGAGAGGAGGGGGGAAAGTGAGAACTAAGAAACTTTGTAACACTGCCAACTAGAGGCTTGGAAATATTCTACTTGAAGTGGAGAGAGATGTGAAAGACTCCTTCTCAAGGACATTTCTTGATAAGATAGAGGGAAGAGCGCAGTAGAATATTATTACAGGTGCTCCTCTGGATTTCTGTCAACAATTAAATATTTATGGCTTGGCTTTGAAGCTTGTGGGAAAGGGAAGGGAGTCATAATAAGAGCCTTGGACAACTAAGCAGAGTGCAGTGTGTTGTTTCTATTTTCTCTTTCTAATCCTTTTTTTAGTTCCGCTACCCTCCCTACTAGCATTATTGTATATTTTTATTCCAGTAAGGTCTTTATTTTTAATTTTTACTTATTTTCAAGGGGAAGCCTTAGAATTTTTCATTTTTATTTTATTTTGATCTTTTTTCTTTTTCCATTGAGATTTTTGTTTTTTTTTATCTATGCTTTTGGATTATTTTGGTCTCCTTTTTTTTTCAACTGAGATTTTTTTGGCTGGATTAAGGTGTGGAACCTGAAGAAATTTATTCTATTTTTTTTCTTTTTGGCTTTGGTCTTGTTTATTATTATTATTATTGGGTCTTTTTTATTATTATTTTTATTTTTTATTGTG